CCTCCTCCTCCTCCTCCTCCTCCTCCTCCTCCTCCTCCTCGCTGTCGCAGAAATGTCTGCGTTCAGTTCTCTGGCGGTTGTGTTTTGCCACCTCCGTCTTAGGGACGGCGCGTCCGGAAAGTGGCCGCCCTCGACAGCACCACCGCCGCTGGACTCCAACTTTTGGTCGGCCTTGCTGCGCCAGTGCGCGGGCCAGCGAGCCAAGGCGCTCGCGACAGCGCGGAAGCTGGCGACTAAACGCCACAAGAGTCCAGCACTGGACCGCGTCTTGAAGTGGGCCGACAAGGCGCTGCTCCCAGAGTACGGGATGCAGTTCGCCTTTTGCGAGGAGAGCCAACTGCTCTCTCGCCTCGCCGGCCCGGCCCCCCTGGAGGAGGAGGCCGACGACGAGAGCGACGTCGCGGCTGGAGGCGACAGCGACAACGACGTCGCTGCGGAGCCAGCCGCGGGGGGCGCGTGAGACGAGTAGCCTTAGGGTGCGCTGCCGCTTACGGCTTTTCGGACGAGGCCGCCCGCGGGGCTGGGCGGCTTCTGCAGCGGCGCCTCTGGCGCGACGCGAACAAAACTCTCGGGCGCACTTTCGCGGCTTGCTGCTACTGTTCCTGCTGCTGCTGCTGCTGCTTCTGCTGCTGCTCTTTCTCCTCTGTTCCTCTCCTGCTCTTCCTCCTACTCTTCCTCGTCGTCCTACTCCTTTCCTCGTCGTCCTTCTCTTCACTTTCCTCCTTCCTCCTCCTCCTCCTCCTTTTCCTCCTCCTCCACTTCCTCCTCCTCCCCTCTTCCTCCTCCTCCTCCTCCTCCTCCTCACTCCTCCTCTTCTCTTCCTCTTCCTCCTCCTCATCCTCCTCCTCCTCCTCCTCCTCCTCCCTCCTTCATCCTCCTCTCCTCCTCCTCCTCCTCCTCCTCCTCCTCCTCCTCCTCCTCCTCCTCCTCCTCCTCCTCCTCTTACGGACAAGGAAGGAAAGCGAGGTCCAAACCACCTCGAGGACAACTGCGCCATGCGGAAGACAGCCAGCGGCGGCACCCGAGTGCACCATCCTTTCCCTCCTGCCCCTCCTCTTCTTCTCCCCCCAAATAGATCCAGGAGAACCTCGCGATCTCTGTCAAAGCGTTTGGGTGCTCGACACTGGCCCAACGACGTCCAAGACAGCGTTTCGACGCGCCCCCCCAGCGAAATCCAGAACATCGTTCTGAAAGCCCGCTTTCTCCACAGTCGCATCAGCACGCCAGCCTGCACATCTGTCTGATATTTCGCAATAAAAAGCCACATTCTGGCCCGAATCCCAGGTTCGCAACCATTTTCCTAGAAATTTGGTTGCGAACCCGGGATTCCACGGATGTTCCTCTGCATTCCCTTCCTCGCATACAAATCTGCCCAAGACGCCCAAACGAGGCCCCAAAACGCCCCCATGAGGCTTCGAAGCACGACCAAGAAGCCCCCAAGAGGTGCCAAGAGCCATCCCAGAAGTTCTTCCAAGAGGTCAGAATCACTGTTCTTCCATAGTTGTTCGAAGATTTTTTCTTTCTCGCATGTTCGGCTCTCCTGACCTCCGAGACAGCCGCAGATGCCCACAAGACCACCCAAGAGTGCTCAAGAAGCGTCCAAGCGATTCCACGGGGCCCAAGTCGGAACGTTTGAACGCTCCACACCGGGTTACAGACGTGCCAGGGAGCGTTTCGACACGTCTTCCGAACGAAGCCCATACATAACGTTCGTAGAGCCTGCCTGTCCCAAAGTCGCGTCAGCACGCCTCCCCGCGCCCCCCCTGCCTCATATTTTGCGGTATAAAGCTGCATTCTGGTCAGAATCCTGGGTTCGCACCCTTTTTTAAAGAAATTAGGTTGCGAACCCGGGATTCGATAAGTTTCCCTCTGAAGTCCTTTTCTTGCTTTCCATTTACCCCTTTCGCTGCTTCGAACACCAAGTTCTCCCACTCCCCCTCCGCAATCTCTGCACATTCGCAATGCGAGCCCGCGAGGACCCCTCGAAGGGACCGCAGGACACCGCGAGAAGCCAGCCGATCCAAAGCTTCAAGGAACAAGATGCATGGCGCGAAGCGCCTATGCAGCCTTGTATATATATATATATACACATTGACATATATTTGTGTATCGATGTGTATGAATATGTACGTATGTAGAAATGTACTGCAGACTCTTGGGCCTCGAATCAGTTGTCTTCTATGTATACACCTATACATTGCCCATTCGGTATCTAGATGTTGTCTTATTATATATACATATACGTTGTCTTTACCTGTATACCTATCTCAGCTGCCTTCTGCGCATATACGTATTATCTTGGGGCTCGAACGTGTGGCGCTTTACGTACATTCCTATAGATTGCCTCTCCCTTAGGGCTCGAGTCCTCGTGCTTTACAGCTATTCCTACACGGTGCTCCTTTCCTCAGCACGAATCCTTCTTGTGCTTTGCGCATATTCCTGTGCATTGCCCCTTTCCCAAGGTCAGCCTTTCCTGGCACGTTCCGTGGCGCGTCCCGTAGCGCGCTCCCCTGGCACATCGCGCGGCGCGTCCCCTGGCACGTCCCCTGGCTGCCCGCTCCGTGGCGCGCCCCTTGCCACGTCTCCGGGCTCGTCGCCTTGCGCATCTCCCTGGTGCGCCCCTGGCAGGCACTCTTCTTTGGTCTGCGGGGCGAGAGCGAACCTCTTCCGCTGAAAGCTAGGCGGGCTACGCACAGCTATAATCAGGGAGACAGGGCACAGGAAGGCGGGGCCTCAGGCGGCCGGAGCAGGCGGAGCCCGCCCCTGGCAGGAACACTCCGTGGCGCGCCCGTGCGCCCTGCGCCCCGTGCCGGCTCGTCCCGCTTCGGAACCGAATCGGACCTTTAGCTCCGGCTGATGGAGCGTCCTGCACGTTTCGACTGCAGCCAGGTCTGGGCCAGCTGTGCACTCAGGCAGCTCGAGCTCAAGATCAAGATCGCTTCGGTAAGGATTCGGATGCCAGTGGCGACTTGATCCACAAAACTGTAGAGCACAACGCAATTCATTTCGGCATGACACATCTGACTTCAGCACGGCACAGCACAGCACAATCCTTGGAACGGTACATCACGATCGATACCTTCACCATTGCAATTGCCTGTTGCCCAATCAGGTGTCTTGAAAACGTAGCCATGCCTGGCGTTTCTAAATTCCTTTCTGGGTTCGTAGGTCGATCATGTTTCGCGGATGCCCCGCGCGGATCTTATCCGTACGACCGCGTATCCGCGGGAACCCGCCCTGGCATCTGGCCCACGAGGGCGCGGACACGGATATGTTTACTGCTCGTGAGCCTCCGTGGAGAAGAGCTCCAAATACGTTTCCTCCCGCAGCCGCAGCCGGCACATCACCCGCACGCAGTCGGTCAGCTGCTCCGGGCTGATTCCGCGGACCTCGAGCATCGTTCAGCCGATCCCTATCCCCACTGGTGTGGCCTTGGCCCCACCAGCTGACTTACCCAACTGGGTGGGGATATATGATGCAGGGCTGCCCCCCCCAAAGCCAATGGGATAAGGCCGCCCCCCCCGCTGGATGGGTACGCCTGTGAGCCTCACGAAGGCCTCGCGAATGGGATCGCTTGACCCCCCTGTGTTCGTGGGCCTGTAGGCGTGGTGGAGGGTGAACGTTCCGCTGCTTTCGCCAACACTTTCCGAGACCCAGGTGGCAGGGCCTCGCGAATGGGATCGCTCCCCCTCGCCACTGTGGTTGTGGCGTGGTGGTGGGTACCAATGCCACCCCCTCCTGCCCATGTGGGTGTGGGGTGGTTCGTCACCGTCGTCGTCGTCGTCGTCTTCTGCCGTCTGCGTCGGCGTCGTCCTATTCCGTCTTCCGTCGTCGTCGGCGTCGGCGTCGGCGTCGTCGTTGTCGTCGTCGTTGTCGTCGTCATCGGCGGCGTCATCGTCGTCGGTGTCATCTTGGTCGTTGCCAACGTCAACGTCAACGTCGGCGTCGTCGTCGTCGGCGCCGGCGTCGGCGTCGTCCCCCCCCTTCCCCATCCCATCTTGGGGGGGCCTGTCGAACCCTAGGACCCATCCCATCCGGAGGGGGGGGGCCTGTGAACCCTCGACCCAGGGTCATATCCCCACCTGGGAGGGTGGGCTCGTGGAGCTGTGATGCCATGGGCCATGGCCCACTGGGGTAGGGTAAACGTTGCTGAGACCTGGAGGGGGATCTCCCCCAGGATGCGCAGGTAGAGGTCGTGGTCCTCGTGCCGCGCGGAGCAGAAAAGCCGCAGCACGCGGCAGAGCTTCTCCAGCGGCAGGCCGGGCAGCAGCGGCTTCACCTGGGAGGCGGCGTCCTTCAAGAGGACGGGGGACGCCTGCTGGCTGGCGGACTTCTTCCTCTTGGCGTCATCGAGCTTTCGGAACACCTCCGCCTCGGGCTGACCCGCCTCGCCAGAGGCGCCGGCCGTCGCGGCCAGAAGGGCCACCGACGGGTCCAGCACCGAGGCCCGCACCGAGGAATGGCCGCGGCCCGTGACCACCGCTTGGGCCATGTCAGCGCCCCCGCCCGAGGCGCCGGCCAGCCGCTCGCGCGCGGAGAAGTCATCCTCCAGCCACGAGTCGATCGCCCGGATCTGCTCCTTGAGGGCCTTCCTCAGCGGCACCTCGAACTCGGGCTGGCCATTGGCGGTCGCCACGGCGGGCGCCGGGGCCGCTGGCTCCAGGCTCTGCACCTCCTGCACCGGGAGGCGGTGGTCCCGCAGGAAGTCGCGGTTGATATCCTCGAAGTTCTGCGTGCACTGGCCCCTCTCCTCGGCAGCAGCTGGGTCTCGCAGAGGCGCGTCCACGACGCCGTCGCCGCCGTCCTGCTGCTGCAGCGCCTTGGCTGGATCCAGGCGGTCCATGAGGCTGTCGATGTCGGCGCCCGTGAAGAGGTGCCCAGTGCGCGGCACCACGGGCTCCAGCGGCAGCTGCGGCGCAGGTGACTGGGCGCACTGCGCCACAGGGGCCGGCCACGCCTCTGCTGCCGCCGCTTCCGGCGCGCTGGCGAGAGGCTGGGGAGTTTCCGCAGCAGCCCGCGGCGGCATCGCCATGGCGCCAAGCCCCGCGCCGTGGCCGTCGGGGCCCGCAGGCGACGCAGGAGACAGAGCGTCCACGGTGCCCTCCGCCGCCTCCAGGGCGCAGGCGCCGTGCGCGGGCGACTCCACGGGGGCAGCGTCGGACGCTGAGCTCGCGCGGCTGCCCGCCCTGGCGCCGTTCGGCGTCGAGGGCGTCGTGCTCGCGAGGCTGCCCGCTCGGTTGCTGGTCGGGGTCGAGGACGTGCCCCTGTAGGGGGCGACCTTCCACGGAGCGTGAAGAGCCTGGCCTGCTCCCCCCATTCCCTCCTTGCTCTGGGGAGGAGGAGGGGCAGGATAATAATAATAATAATACTAATAATAATAATCATCATAATAATGATAATGATAATGATGGTGAAAACAATAATGATGATAATACGAATGATACTAATACAAAGAAGATAACAATGATACTATTAGTGAAAATTATACTAATAATAATGATAATAATATTAATCACAACAATTACAATAAACATGAAAATACTAATAATCATAGCCATAATACGAACAGTGATATTAATAATAATAATAATGATACGAATAATAATAATATTAATAATGATACTAATAATAATAATAATAATAATAATAATAATAATAATAATAATAGCAATACAAATGATAATCATCATCATCATCATCATCATCATCATCATCATCATCATCATCATCATCATGACGATCAGTATGATGGTGATGATGCTGATACTGATGCTGATGCTGCTGATGATGATGAAGGTGCAGATAAATATGATGATGAAGATGATGATGATGAAGATGAAGATGAAGATGATGAAGATGATGATGATGATGATGATGATGATTATGATGATGATGGTGATGATGATGGTGATGATGATGGTGATACTGGTAACGATGATGTTGATGATGATGATGAGGAGGAGGAGGAGGAGAAGGAGGAAGATGATGATGTTGAGGAGGAGGAGCAGGAGGAGGAGGATGATGAGGACCCAGTACAGAGGATCAGGCGCTCAAGGGTCTCGCATTAGAGTCCCACCAGCCCTCTCGGCGTAGGTGGTCTACTTTCTCTCCCAATCCCCTTCTTCCCCCTCGGGGAATGGTTTATCCCTCCCCCCATCTGCCTCCCCTGGACTTGGATGGGGCCGGTCGCGGCGCGTTGGAGCGTCCTAGATGCCCTAAGATGGCTCCAAGAGGGCCTCAGAAAGTGCAAGATGTCCTCCAAGATGGCTTCAGATAGCGAGAGATCGCTCAAAATTGCTTCCAGAATGCTCTAAGAGTCCCCAAGACCGCCTCAAGACGGCTCCAAGTTGCCAAAGAGCTCCCCAACAAGGCCCACAAGAGACCAAAATCCTTCACAAACCTATGGGAAATCAACGTTTTTGGATTTCTCGCCTTTGCGCTTCTGATGCCCATCCGAGGCCTCAAGATGGCTCCAAGATGGCCTATGAGGGCCCCAAGAGTGGCCCAAGAGGGCCCCAAGACGGCCCCAAGAGCGCTCAAGAGCGCCCCATGAGCGCCCCAAGACCGCAGAAGGAGGCAATTTTAGGCGCTCTAGAAGGGCGACGCTACTTGGAGCTCACCTCTTGTTGTATCGATGTCTTCCAAGATGGTTTCAAGAGCGCCCACAATGCTCCAAAGAGCGCCCCAAGAGGGCCCCAAGAAGGCTCCAAGAGGCGCCCAGACGGCTCCGAGAGGCGCCCCGAAGGCCTCCAAGAGGCTCCCAATAGACCCCCACGAGGCCTCAAGAGGATCCCCGAGGCACCCAAGACGCTCAAAGACGGCCCCCTGGGCCAGCAAAGATGTACGCCCCAAGAAGCCTCCAAAAAGCTTCTAAGCGACATCCGAGGAGACTCCGAGGGGCATTCAAAAGCTTTCTGGCTCGTCTGTTCGCCCTTTTCCTCCTCCTCCTCCTGCTGCTCCTCCTCTTCCTCCTCGTCCTCATCCTCGTCCTCCTGCTTCCTGTTCCTCCTCATCCACAAACTCATCATCCTTTTCCGTCCTCCATCATCCATCACCCATCCTCCTCCTCCTCCTTGTCCTCCTCCTCCTCCACAATTCCTCCTCGTCCTTTTTACGTTAGACCAACGTTACGATCGAGCCTGTCGCGTTAATCCTCCTCCTCATCCTCCTCCTCCTCCTCCTCCTCCCCCTCCTCCTCCTCCTCCTCCTCCTCCTTCGAACGATAACAACTGTCCCCAATCTGCTCCTACGCATCCATGAACGCCCCAGCTCGCCTGGGCGCCGGTTTTGGAGGGGCTGGTGGGGATTCGCGACGCGTCAAGAATCATCTAATAAGTGACAGTGAACCCTGAGAACATGCACCGATGCAGGAGATCTGATGTAGAAGAAGACAAGGAGAAGGGGGAGGAGGAGGAGGAGGAGGAGGAGGAGGAGGAGGAGGAGGAGGAGGAGGGGGAGGAGGAGGAGGAGAGGCGTAGTAAGCAGGGGGGGTCCCGCTGCAGGAGGCGCAAGGTGCGGGCGGGAGTGGAGGTCGAGGTCGGGGGGGGGATATCGAGGGCAAGTCGGAGGTGGAAGGGAGAACCGGGGTGGACGATGAGGTGAATTGGTAAGGGTCGAGGTCGAAGCAAAGGTGGAAGGGGAAGGCATTGAGGGTGGAGATGCTGTCAAAAGTTGAAGGTCGAGGTGGCCGCGGAAATCCACCCAAGCACCTGGCGCTTGCTTCCACGCGACCCCAGAAACCGCCGCGAGTCCTCGTGTGTCTCATAGTGAACCTACAGCGAACCACCAGTGAACCATCAGTGAACCAACAATGAATCATCGTACAAATCGTAGCGAACCTCGAATATCATTAACGAACGTTTCCTTATTCGGCGTTTCGACTTCGGGCGGAAGGGGGGAGGGGGGACTCTGGCTCCGGACCTCTGCTTAGCGCGACTGTTTGCAACAGTGCGTCCTACGGAAGAAACTCTACCTGCTTGAAACATGCGCCAAGAACGGCCGCGATCTACTCCAGGGGGGGGGGGCCAGGGCCCGCGCCGATCGGCAAAACAATGAACAAGAGAAAAAATAACACGTAGAGCTTCCCTTAGCTAGTTGCTGGAAGCTTAAGAGTAATTCCGGCGCGCTGGAGGGCTAGTTGGCAAGAAAACTCTCGACGGACCTTTTGCTGATTTTTGCTCGGTTGAAAATTATGTACTCGAAATTCCTCAATTCGTTTGAGCTCTAGTATTTTTTCCCGTGACATTCGATATTTTCCCGCTCGCCGTCTTAATCTCAGCTCGATCGGGTACCTACTACTGCCAAAAAGCAACTTGGCGGGATCGGCTGTTTGGAGTCATCTTGACAGGCGTTGTCGGTTTTCTGTACTTAACTTGAGCTGTAGGATAGCTACAGAGCTGGTACGCACACGTAATCGATTCAGAATCATCAGGCGCGTTCGTCTGAAGCATCTAGAGGTCTGGACTCGGTCTTCTACTCGAGCTAGGTCCACGAAATTATTCGTACTAAATGATTTTTTGAGATAATGATGAGTTTCTTGACTTAACTCGAGTCTCAAGTATCTAGAAGCCCGAACTCGGTCTGCCATGAGCACTGGAGCCGAACAAAAAACTATCTGTACTCTCCAATTTTTCAGAGATGGTGAAGGTTTTCTTGGCATAACTCGAGCTGCAGATGAGCTACAGAGCTGTTCGGCACACCAATCGGAAGGCAATCATCAGGCGCGCTACTAGACACCTGGACTCGGTCTGCTATCACCGTAGAAGCCGAAACACTATTTATACTCTGCTATTTTTTTTGACATGTAATTGGTGTTCTTGACATAACTCAAGCTGCAGATGAGCTCCAGAGCTCTTAGGCACAACAATCGGAATGACATCATCAGGCGCGCTATTTCAAAGTATCTAGACGCCTGAAATCAGTCTGCTATCAGCGCTCGGGCTGAAACACTATTTGTACTCTGCGAATTTCTTGGAGATGATATTGGTTTTCTTGACTTAACTCGCGCTGCAGATGAGCTACAGAGCTGTTCAGCACAGCAATCGGAAGGGAATCATCAGAGGCGCTAGTTAAAAGTATCTAGGCGCCGGAACTCAGTCTGCTATCAGCGCTCGGGCTGAAAAACTATTCGTACTCTGCTAATTCTTCCAAGATGGTATTGGTTTTCCTGATTTAACTCGAGCTGCAGATGAGCAAGGAAGCTCTACGAGTCTCCCGGTGGTAACCAAGGTTGACGGTTTACCGCCGGCGCCCAGTCTTTAAAAAGGCAGCGACAATTTCCCCCCGAATCCCAGATGGCTTAGCGTCGTAACGGCGCTGGCGTGCTGGAATTCAACTCCACTTAGGAAAGCCAGCAGCGCGTATCAACGGCGCTGGTGCGCCTTGTTTCAGCGATGTTTGGGCCGCGTCGGCAGAGCGTCGCAACGGCGCCGGTGTCCGGGATACGCGGGGCTATCAAAATGAGATCACGCATTAATTTCCCGCCCCGGTCGGCTCAAACGCAAAAACGGCACATGTGAAATGAAAACCGAACCGCCGCCCAATCAGTCCACTCACATTCTGCACCAAACTGAAAACAGAAAATGGGAACAGGCAAGATGCAAGGACGGGCAGCGAGGCGAGCGACCCTCGAAGCTCTCAGGATCGCGGCTCGAAAACAACGATTAAGAGTTGAAGGCAACGGGCGGCCAGAAGTAGAATCCCTCGCCCAAGGAGCCCGCCACGCACGCCAGGAACCGCGACGAGCGGCCCGAGCCTCTGCCCAGAGGGAATCGCCAGCGGGGGCCCGGCGAAGCAGCAAGCGCCGACCCGCCGAGAACAGCGCCCCTGTGCGTCCCCAGGGGAACCTGCCATGCACTCTACGCGACGATGCGCCCCTCGCACGCTGCGCTGCCATTGCGCGGGCCACTACTCGACGAAGAAGGGCGCAATCGCGCCGCGCTGCGCCGCGCGCTCGATGCTGGGCAGCCTCCTTCGCCAGACGCGCGCGGATGTCGGGCAGCGCCATTCTGCCCTCCCCGCGCCAGCTCCGCACCGCGGCGAACGCCGAGATGCGCTCGAGGCTGCGCGCGCCAGCGGCAGCCGTGACCCGGCCAGCGCCAGGGCGCACTCGAGGATGGTCATGGAAGGGCGCCGTCGCCGCGCCCCCCGCCCTCGTCGCGGAGTCGCCGTTGACTTTGGGCCCGCTGGTGGCCGCCCTGGGCGGCGTCGCAGCGCGCCCCCCTCCACCGTCGCGCCGTCGTCGTCGATGGCGAACGAACCCGCCGTCGGTCACCGAGCATGGCGGCGCAGCGCTCTCCATCCCCTATCGCGCCGTCGTCGTTGACCTGGAGCCCGCTGATAGCCGCCTTAGACGCCGTCGCACCGCGCCCCTCCATCATCGCGCCGCCGTCGTAAACCTGGAGCCTGCTGGCAGTCGCACTTGCTAGGGGTCGCGTTGCACTCCTCCCCCGACGCGTCGTCGCCGTTGACCTTGAACCCGCTGATGGTCACCCTTGGCGGCGTAATAATGTGCTCCGCCTCCTCCACCGTGCCATCGCCGTTGGCTCGCGGTCTGCTGACATCGGTCCGGGACGGCGTCGCAACGCACTCATCCCCCACCGCGCCGTCGTCGTTGACCGCGAGCCCTCCGGCGGCCACCCTGGGCGGCGCAGCACCGCGCTCCTCCAATTTCGCGCCGTCGTCGTTGGACTCGAGCCCGCAAGATGTCGGCCTGGAGGGCGTCGCATCATCATCCCTTTCCGTCGCGCCGTCGTCATCGGCGGGGTTGCCATCGCGAGCGCCGATCTCGCTCGTAGAGCCGAGATCGTATGCCAGCACGTCAGCATAGGGCGATGCCACCGGTGACCTTTGGGCGCCTTCCGCAGCCCCAGAAGGTCACCGAGCTGGGCGCCCTGCTCCTTGAGGCCGCTGGCGAGCACGCCGCGCGGCGAACGCCCTCAGCCGCCGCGGCGCCGTCGTGGTTGACCATGAGCACGCTGGCGGTACCCATGGGCGTCGTTGTAACGCGCTCGGTCTAGTCGCCCCGCGGCTCAGCGCTCTCGACGGCGAGCGCCCGATTGTCCAGCGTCTCCTCGTCTATGACCAGGTCGTCGAACCCGCAGCCGAACCCAACAACGTCGCCGCCGCCCCTACGGCTGGCATCGCCCGCCCACGAACTATCGTTCGCCGCCAGCCGCCGCGCAAGATGTGAGCGCGTCCGCTCGGGAGCTCGCGAATTCGGCTGCCCCTCCATGGGGGGGAGCTGGAAACGAGGATGGCGGCAGAGAGCAGCCTGTCCTGGTCCGTGTTCTGGTAGTGGCAGCAACTGGCGTAGCTCCTGATGCAGTCGCCGTCTGGGCCGACTGTCTGGAGAACCTGCAGCGCGCCCTCCATGATAAAGCTGTCGTTCTCAGGCGTCTGCTCGGGCTCGGTCGCTACGAACGGCTGCCACTAGCTCGCGATGATGCCGACTGGCTGCAGCAGCAGGTCTTGCCACTAGGCCTCGAGAGCACCCAAATCCGCAGGCAGCGGAGGGTCGTCGCCCTCGTCATCGATGCGACGGGCGCGGCGCGCGCGAGGACGTCGTCGCGCCGAGGGCCCTCTAATCCACATTGCTCCTCTTGGCCGCCCGCCGCTCCTCTCGGATCCTCCTCGCCTCGCGCAGTTGGTTCAGCGAAAACGGCGATCGCCTGTGCGGCGGCGAAGTCTGCGCGGCGGAGTCCAGGCGACTCCACCCGCCCCGATGCAGCCGCGGGCGCCTCTGCCTTCTCTGGGTGAGCGCGCAGGCGCTGCCAGCGCAGAGGCCTTGCCACAGGCGCCTCCGTCGCAGGCGGTGCCACCGCCGGAGCTGCCTCCTCGGCCGCTGTGGAGCCACGCCAGCTCGGGCTCCTGCTCCTCGAGGCGCACGCGCCAAGGCGGGCGCGCGACCTCCAGCGCCACGCGCGCCTGCGGGGCGGGCCGCGGCTCGCTCTCGCTCGTCTCCTCCACCATCGCCAGCTGTAGCGGCTGAGGGGCGCTGCTCGGCCGCGCCCTTGGCGCGCAGCTTGGCCTCAAATGCAGCCTCGGCTCGCCCCATGCGGGCTGCTGCCGCTGCCGCAGCGGCCGCGCCGGCAGCGCCCCCGCCACCGCCGCGGAGACGACCAGCCACAGCACCTCGGGGAGCCACGCCCCGCAGTCGCCCCACGTGCTTTGCCATATCATAAATCTACAGGAGGCGGCGGGGAGGCGGCCCTGCCTGGGCCGCTTTGGCTCAGCCAGTGAGCCAGAATTGCATTTCAACTGACATCGTGGTTCGCCACGTATTTTTACAATGGTTCCCTGTTGATTCACTGGTGGTTCACCGCAGGTTCTCGATGCTGATTGCTTCACGTCAATAGGACATGCCAAGTGCGCCAGGCGCGCCAAGTGCGCCAGGCGTAGCAGGTGCGCAACGCGCGACCAGTGGGCTACGCGTGCCCCATGAACGATACACGCCGCGTGCGGCAGGTGCGCCACGCGCGTCAGGCGCAACAGGCCATCCAACAATGTGGACCCGCTAACACGACCGCATTTCTGAGGGTGACAACTGCGAGAATGGTGGCGATGATGATGGACTATCAAGATCTATCAAGATGATTGTTGCGAGCGTCAATACTTTGCGACCCCAACCGGTGTTGTATGTTTATCGGGCCTTGGATATCAAGGCGCTGCTCGTTACGAACGCAGCAAATCAGCGCGGGCACGGCAGTAGCTCCTGAAGCGCCGGCTTCGGAATAAGGACAGTAAACATGTAAATGTTCAGGCGCCAGACGAGCATGCCCGACTGCCCCTAGGGGAGCTGCGCCGAATCGGCGGGCAAGCTGGCCAGTGGCTCCAAAAGGGCACGTAAACATCCTAAGTGGACAGCGCGCTAAGGTATCATTAAACGATTTCGTTTTCGTTGTCCTCGCGTGACACAGGTTGGGACAATATACGCAAGACTAGTTGAGCCCAACAACGCCTGAACACCACTGGACTGCGAGCACCGAGACGCCTGTGGAAACTGCACCACCTGCGAACACCAACGCCTTTGAGCAGCACAAGAATGCAGAGCGCAACAAGAACAATCAGTGCTGCATCTCTGTCCCCAGTGCGAGCTCAAATTCACCCCTCGGTCAATCCTCCATCCTTCTTCCCACCTCCTCCCTCTAACGGTCCGTCCCCCGTCAATCCTTCCACCCTTGCACCCTTCATCCTTCCATCCGCTCTCGCTCCATGCATCTTTCCATTACTCCTGATCCCTCGCGTCTGCATGCCTCATCCATCTATCCCTCGATCCTTCTACCCGTCTATCCCTCCTCACTCACTCACTCCCTCCCTCCCGCATCCCTCCCTGTCCCAGTCCCTCCAGCCACCAACTCATCACTCCTGCCTGTTCCCTCCATTCGTCAGTCATCCTGCATCCCTCATTCTTTCATCTGTCATCCTCCCATCCTCTCATCCTGCCTCCCTCAATCCCTCCTTCCACGATTCATGCTGCATCCTCCCTGCCCCCTCATCTCTCCATCCCTCATCCCTCCTTCATGCCTCCGTCAATCCCTCCACCCATCAATATTTTCTCATTCCTCCCTCCGTCTCCCCGTCCTCCATTCCTCATTCCTCCGTCCCCATCAATTCCTATAACCATCCACGTTTCCCTGTTCATGCCTCCTTTCTCAATCCGTCCGCCCATCCATCCCCCGATCCTTCCATACCACCCCCCTTATTCCTTCAATTCGCCTTCCTGATCCTCCTCCTCCTCCTCCTCCTCCTCCTCCTCCTCGTCCTCCTCCTCCTCCTCCTCCTCCTCCTCCTCCTCCTCCTCCTCCCCTCCTCCTCCTCCTCCTCCTCCTCCTCCTCCTCCTCCTCCCCCCCCTCCTCCTCCTCCTCCTCCTCCTTCTCCTCCTCCTCCTGAGAAAAATCCGCGATGACATATCTACTGCAGTCCTGGACTGCATGTTCCGACACTTCCTGATCAACGCAACTGGCGTGGAAACCGTTTCTGGATGAGCCAGAGGGGGTACGCGACGCGTCACAAACTCTAGGGGGTCGTTCTGGACATGCTGCAAAAGACGACAAAACGTTGCAACGGACAGCACGTGGACAGCATATTCGTCGAGCCCTCACACACTTGAGGGGGATGTTCATCACTCCCCAGCATCCTAGTCAATGTTGATCTTAGCATGGGTTGGTTTGGGGGCTCGAATATTTTCGTCCATCCAAAACCTCTCCAGTACCGCAAAATCAATTTGGGGGGGTCCGCGGGGAGGGGGGGGGGGGGGGGGGGCATTTTGCGCCGCAGGGTTCGAACTGGTTGTGACTGTACGGGAGGGAAGGAAGGGACGAAGGAAGGGATGTTATAGAGGATGACGCGAGCAGAAGGGGGGCGGAGGAAAAGGAGGAGAAAGAGGAGGACGAGGAGGAGGAGGAGGAGGAGGAGGAGGAGGAGGAGGAGGGGAGAGGAGGCGCAGAAGGAGGAGAGGAGGCTGGTTGTAGGCCTCAGACCTTCGGAGGCGGCGTGGGCTTCTTCACCGGCGGGCGTTCCCGCGTCTGCTGCCTCTGGGTCAGCTGCTGGATGAGTTCCCGGTCCTGGTCCAGAACGGCCCGCTGGTCGAAGGACCCGCCTGCCTGCGGTACGGCTCCTCCCATCATCCTCTCCCCTCTTCCAAATTACTCATCGTTCCTCTCCCCTTCCTCCTCCTGCTCCTCCTCCTCCTCCTCATCATCATCATAATCATCATCATCACCACCATCACCATCATCATCACCATCACCATCATCAGCAGCAGCACCAACAGCAGCATCAGCAGTAATCCGACACCATGCCTGCACGATGTAGGCGAGATAGACTGCCAAGGGCTGCTCTGTAGGATTTCTGTGCTCCAGTAATGGACCCCCCCCTCGTCCCAGAGTGCTGCGTGCACCCCCCTACTCGAGGCCACGATCCATCGTAAGAAACGATAGATCCGCGCTCCCGAGGCCACGATCCCTCGTGAAATTAGCCTAGCGAAGAATCCAACCCAAACAGGACCGCTCGACGCACAAGACCACATTGAGGGGTGTGCTAAATTGGCGCGGCGGCACCATGCGGATACACCCACTCGTGCCTGCATACAAGAAAGGGAGCATGCATGCATACATGTATATACATCTTCATGTATACCTGCATGTAAGAAAAGGTGTATGCGTGCAGAGCTATCTACACATGCAGTCATGTCCATCCCGCCCCGATGACAGTCTGGGACCAGTGCTAAGGAGCTCTTCGCACCCAGTGGGCACTAAGAGACGATGCCATTATGGCAAGAAGTGCAAGACCAGCCGCCACTTACCCATCACCCAGCACACGCCCGAACATCAAACGCCTTGGCTTGCCAGCACCATGACCCAGACCTCCGACGTCGTGATTTTTTACAACGTCGACCCCCAATGGTCTGGACCCCTTCCCCGGGACCAGTTTTTCGTCCGGAGTCGTTTTTTGACGGTCCCGAGCCCCGGTAAGGGCCCCTGGAGGCCGAAAATAGGGAAAAACCTCCCGTCGTGTTTTTTGTCGCAACTCGAGGAGCTCAGGGTACTTCGCGCCGAGCTGCTGCTGGCTTCGACCACCTGTGAAGCCGAGGAACGTCAGGCGAAGGAGGCAACTCTGAATACTCCCGGGGGGGGGGGGCCCCAGGGGTCGTGAGCTCCCCTCTGCGACCAAGGTTGGGGAAACCAGGAGGCGCCAGCACCGCGACTCCCCAGACCTCTCCTGGGGGTGCGCTCCTGACCGGGACTTCGAGGCGAATCCGGCGGTGGCGACGAGGGCCTCCGGGTGTCTGGAAGGTCCGGAGCAGCCCGAGCTTTGGACATTGGAGGAGGAGCAGGAGGAGGAGGAGGAGGAGGAGGAGGAGGAGGAGGGGAGGGGAAGGGCAGCGGCATGGGTGCCTTCTCCTCCTCCGGCCAGGAGGCCCCACGGTAAGCGCAAAGGGGGAGTGCCAATCCAGTCGAACGGGGGCCCCTTCCCTGTGGCCCCTCCCCTGCCAGGGGAGGGGCCTCCCCGGGGGAGGGGCCCGGGTCGCCGGGGGCGCTCCGCGGGGGGAGAGGCCCAGGGAGGGGCGCCGAGGAAAGCAGGGCCCGCAAGAGCCTCCACGGGGGCTCGCGAGCGTCGTCGTCGACGCCGTCGTCGTCGCCGTCCCCCTTCTGGGTCGGCGGCACTGGCCGCAAGGCCTTCGCAACTCTCGCGAGGTGCTTTTGCCACTGCCTCTTTGAGGGGGGAAGTGATGATGATGATGATGATGATGATGATGATGATGATGATGATGATGATGATGATGATGATGATGATGATGATGATGATGATGATGATGATGATGATGATGATGATGATGATGATGATGATGATGATGATGATGATGATGATGATGATGATGATGATGATGATGATGATGATGATGATGATGATGATGATGATGATGATGAGCAGGACGAGAATGAGCCACCCAAGTAACCACACGCATGAAGAATACATTGTCGACGCTGCGCGAACATATGCATATCCGTAGAAATACACATAACATCAATGTTTTCGCAATCAAATGGGGTTATCTCTCGCAATCAGCCAAGGTATCAACAAGACCATACCGCAACAAGCGTCGCAACACCCGATCACACATGATTGTGGCGCACGCGGCCACACGAGGCTAGACCGCACCAGGCAAGGAAAGTGTATGTTGGACTGTGCGTAGGAAGTGACATGCGTGCCGCTCCACATGCGAAGCCTACGTAACACACACACACACAGTAGGGGCTCGACCACAAGAAACCTTCCACACGCAATCCAACCCTGAGACCCCAGGGCGTCCTCTGATTTTCGGTGTGGGCACGCCGCGCTTTGCATTGCAAAACCATCAAAGCCCAAGAAACCCAAGGCACCCTGGAGGCAAGCAAGGCGTTTCTTGGCATGGGTCCCCACTGTAAACATAACGCCCGAGGTTACCGTTTTGGAAGTGCACCGTGAAGATCAAGTCACCAGCGAGGCAGCACGCACATCTGCAAGCACAGAGCGGGGCGCTGCCCGGAAGCTGGAAAAAAGTAGGCCTCCCCCTTGCGCGCAGATGGAAGGCCACTATGGTGTGGCAGTGGATGGCAAGTACTTCGCTTAGCACCCCTTCGCCTGCAAGAGACTATGCTCGTATTGAATGAAACAAGCATGGATCTTCGTGAGGCGGGTGGCCAGGAAGCTCTGCGAATCGCACCGCAAGCGTACAATCCGACCCACCCCCCCAGGGGGCCACGTCACATCTGCCGAGCAGCCCATAACCCAATCGCGCCATCCTCCCAAGCGGCCCCAAGACGGTCGTACTCGGCCCCCATATGGTCCAAGATGGCTCCAAGACGGCCCACGCTGGCCCGATGACAGTCCAAGAGGGTTCCAAGATAAGTCGAATAGCGCCCACGGGGCCCGGATCCCAAAACGCCTCTTACACGGCAGAAGACGCTTTTAAAAAGTTCCAATATGCCTCACAGAACACCGCAATTAATGAACAATTGAAACTGGTTTGTATGATTTCGGCACACTCGTTATTCGGTCTGCATGGCGCCCACCACGGCGAAGCAAGCCCAACATCGCCCGAATGTGACCCAAAAGGGCTCGAAGAGCGGCCCAGGACAGCCAAAGAGGGCCCCAATGCGACCCCCAAAAGTGAAAGCTTACGGAGGTCCCAAGACGCCCCAATGGAGCCCTCAGGCTATCCAAAAATAGCCAGCAAACACCCCAACGACGGCGTCGCAAGAGGGCCCCCAGACACCCCAGGAGGTACACAAACAGCCCCAAGTGGCGCCCAAGACGGCCCAAAACGACCTCCAGGATGGATCAACATAAGTGCCCACCTCGAGTCTCAGACGACCCAGACCTTCTCAAATACAGCTCCGCGGGCTCAGCCTTTGCGTGCGCCTAAGACTGCCCCAAGAGGACCAGCAGATGCCCCCAAGACAGCCCACGAAGGCCACAAGCCAGCCACGCGGCGGCCCCAAAACATCCAGCCCCAGCAACAACACGTCCTCCGATCTCACTCGCCGAAACATCCCAGCTAGAGTCTCCGAGCAGTGCACTCGACAAGAAACCTGCTCTGCGTCCAGCGCAACTCTCCCGATGAACGGGTTCGTTCGCGCCCAGCTTGTGGCGATGTCTCGGTAGAGGCGCTCGTGCTACACCTCCGACTCCTCTTCTTTCAGAACCCCATGGCCACCGCGATGTCGCAGGCATCGCACTTGAGCACCCCAAGGGGCAGCCGCCAGGGAGGTATCTCACGGACCCGTTCGCGCCTCGATTGCGGGATGTCTCTAGCGAAGCGTTGGCTTGTCGCCCCGACCCCTCTCCTTTTTCAGAGCCCCTTGACCACCTCGATATAGCGAGCATAGCACTTGAGCACTCCAAGGGGGAACCGCCAGGGGGTATTTCACGGGCCCGTTGACGCCCAAATTGCGGGGGATGTCTTGGGCAAGGCGCCCGTTTTGCACCTCCGACCCCCCTCTGTTTGGAGCCACCGCGATGTAGCATGCATAGCGCTTGCGCGCCCCAAGGAGAGGACCACCAGGGGGTGTTCCGCTTGCCCGGTCGCGCCCAGATCGTGGAGATGTTTCGAGCGAGGCGCCTGGCTGGCGCCCCCGACTCCACTCTCTTCGGGTCCACATGGCCGCCGCGATGCGACAGGCATACCGCTTGAGCACCCGAAGGCGGGCGGCCGCCAAGGGGTGTCACACTTGCCTGTTCGCGCCCATATTGCGGAGATGTCTCCATCGAGGCGCTGGTTTAGCGCCCACGACTCCTCTCCTTCCAGAGCCCAGTGACCATGGCGATGCAGTGGTCACATCGTCACACCACTTGAGCACCCCAAGGGGGAGCCGCCGGGGGGGCGTTACACTTGCCCGCTCGCGCCCAGATTGTGGAGATGCCTCGGGCTCGGCGCTCGTGCTGCACCCCGACTCCTCTCACTTCAGAGCCCCATATGACCACCGCGATGCAGCAGGAATTTCATTTGAACACCCCATGGGAGGAGCCGACAGGAGGTGTAGCTGCCAGGGGGTGTTAGCCTTACCCATATGCGCCCAGTGGGAATGTCTCGGGCTCGGCGCTCGTTTGGTGTCTCCGACCCCCCTCCCTGCAGAGCCCCAGGATCACCGCGATGTAGCGTGCATAACACTAGAGCATTCCAAAAGGGGAGAGGCGAAGGGGTGCTTAGCTTGCCCGTTCGCGCCCAGATCGTCGGGATGTCTAGAGCGAGGTGCTCGCTTGGCGCCCCCGACTTTCTGTCCTCTCAGAGCCCCATGATCGCCGCGGTGCGACAGGCATAGCACGTGCATCCCAAGGGGCAATCGCATTTGCATCCCAAGGGGGGGCCGCCAGGAGGGGCCACACTTGGCCAGTTGCCGCCAGCGTGGGCATGTGCAAAGCGCCCCCCTTTGTGTTGGCACCCCTGGCCCCTTCCCTCTTCAGAGCCCCATGATCACCGCGAAGTTGCAGGCACAATACTTGGACATTCCGCGGGGGAGCCGCCAGGGGGTAGAATTTGGCGGCAGAGAGAAGGCAGCATACGGCGGAAGAGATAAACAGAGAAAAGCGCTCACAGCCGGAGTTGTACATCGTCAGTCTG